ACCAGTTTTCTGCTGTCCAATCCTTGTACTTCCTGCAGAATTTCAGTCTGTCCTTGACGTTTTCCTTGGAGAGAAGTGGCTTCTTTGCTGCCCTTCTTGACACCAGGCTGTTGTCCAAAAGTCTTGGCCTAACTGTGTGTGCAGATGCTCTCACACCAACCTGCTGCCATTCCTGAGCAAGCTCTGCACTGCTGGTGACACGATTCCGTAGCTGACTCCTCAGGAGGAGATGGTCCTGGCGCTTGCTGGAGACTCTGGGACGTCCTAAAGACTTCTTCACTGCAGGCGAACCGCTCTCCTTGAAGTTCTTGTTGATCCAGTAAATGGTTCTTTCAAATGCAATATTCTTTGTAGCAATTTCCTTGCATGTGAGACCAGTTTGATGCAAAGCGATAATGGCTGTACATGTCTATACACTACTGTGTATAGACCACCAGGGCCATATACAGATTTCCTAAAAGAATTTGCAGATTTTCTCTCAGACCTATTGGTTACTGTTGATAAAGCGCTAATTGTCGGAGATTTTAACATTCACGTTGATAATACAAATGATGCATTAGGACTTGCGTTTACTGACCTAATAAACTCTTTTGGAGTCAAGCAAAACGTCACCGGGCCCACTCATCGTTTTAATCATACGCTAGATTTAATTATATCGCATGGAATTGATCTTACTGATATAGATATCGTACCTCAAAGTGATGATGTCACTGACCATTTCCTTGTATCGTGCATACTGCGTATTACTGATAATAACTATATCGCTCCGCGTTATCGTCTGGGCAGAACTATTGTTCCAGCCACCAAAGACACATTCACAAATAACCTGCCTGATTTATCTCAACTGCTCTGTGTACCAATAAGTACACATGAACTAGACGAAATGACTAGCAACATGGGCACTATCTTCTCTAATACATTAGAAGCTGTTGCCCCCATCAAATTGAAAAAGGTTAGAGAAAAACGTACTGCGCCATGGTACAACAGTAATACCCATTCTCTCAAGAAAAAAACTCGTAGTCTTGAGCGCAAATGGAGAAAAACAAACTTGGAAGTTTTTAGAATTGCGTGGAAAAACAGTATGTCCAGCTATAGACAGGCTCTAAAAGCTGCCAGGGCCGAGCATATCCACAAACTCATAGAAAATAACCAAAACAATCCAAGGTTTTTATTTAGCACAGTGGCTAGATTAACAAATAACCAGACACCACCCGATCTAAATATTCCCTCACAGTTTAATAGTAATGACTTTATGAATTTCTTCACTGATAAAATAGATAACATCAGAAATACAATAACAAATGTAGATTCTACAGCGTATAATACTTCAGCTTCATTCATCGCACCAAAAGATAAACTGCAGTGCTTTACAACTATAGGACAGGAAGAGCTAAATAAACTTATCACTGCATCTAAACCAACAACATGCCTGTTAGATCCTGTACCCACTAAATTACTGAAAGAGTTGTTACCTGTAGCAGAAGAACCGCTTCTCAATATTATTAACTCGTCGTTGTCTTTAGGTCACGTCCCAAAACCATTCAAGCTGGCGGTTATTAAGCCTCTTATTAAGAAACCACAACTAGATCCTAGTGAACTGGCAAATTACAGACCCATCTCAAATCTTCCTTTTATGTCTAAAATTTTAGAAAAAGTTGTGTCCGCTCAATTGCGCTCCTTCCTGCAAAAAAATGATCTCTATGAAGAATTTCAGTCAGGTTTCAGGCCCCACCATAGCACAGAAACTGCACTTGTTAAAATTACAAATGACTTGCTTCTTGCGTCAGACCAAGGCTGTATCTCATTGCTAGTTTTACTTGATCTTAGTGCTGCGTTCGACACTATAGATCATGACATACTCATAGATCGATTACAAAACTATACAGGTATTCAAGGGCAGGCTTTAAGATGGTTTAGATCCTACCTGTCCGATCGCTACCACCTTGTTCATTTAAATGGGGAGTCATCTCAATTATCACCAGTAAAATATGGAGTGCCACAAGGATCTGTCCTAGGTCCTCTGCTATTTTCGATATACATGTTGCCCCTTGGTAATATTATTAGAAAATACGGGATTAGCTTCCACTGTTATGCAGATGATACTCAACTATATATCTCAACAAGACCAGATGAAACTTCTAAATTATCTAAGCTAACAGAATGTGTTAAAAATGTAAAAGATTGGATGACCAATAATTTTCTCCTATTAAACTCGGATAAGACAGAGATATTACTTATTGGACCAAAAGACAGTACACAGAATCTCGTGGATTACAATTTGCAACTAGACGGATGTACAGTTACTTCCTCTACAGTCAAAAATCTGGGTGTTATATTAGATAGCAACTTGTCTTTTGAAAATCATATTTCCCATGTTACAAAAACAGCATTCTTCCATCTTAGAAACATTGCCAAACTACGAAATATGTTACCTGTTTCTGATGCAGAAAACTCATTCACACTTTCACATGTGCTGCTGATATGATTAGTCAATTAATGTTAGCTGGTCATTTTGTCAGGATCAAAAAAAAATATATATTTTTTTTTTTTGTGAAAAGTTAATTTGTTTGGCCTATGAAGCTTTTAGCAATTATTTAAAATGAATCTGATCACTCTACACAATAATCTAGAAAGAATGTTAATAAACACCACAACAGCTTAAGCAGCAAACTTTGCAAAACACAAAATTTGTCCCTGCCAAAACTTTTGGCCACGACTGTACGTTTTATAATAAATCCAAAAGCAAGACGTGAACAACAAAATAGCGAGTTGAAATGGCAGCTGAGCTATTGAGTGATCCTCTGCTGCCATCTACTGGTTATAATGTTAATTTCATGTCATTTAATAAAGGCTTTAAAATATTATGTGTTTAAAAAAATGTTCATGACTATGAAGGTATTTATCGATTATCAAGAATACCATATGATGACGTTTGAGATAGCATCGCTAGCTAGCTAACATTAGCCTAAACAGTTATCATACTGTTTAGTTGTCAGCATTTAAATGTACAATTATGTGTCTAGCTAACTGAGACTTGTTTTAGCACTTGCATATCATTACTCTCTTGTTGATTTTGATTGCTTCTATTGTCCTCATTTGTTAGTCACTCTGGATAAAAGTGTCTGCTAAATGACTAACGTTAAATGTAAATGGTAGGTACTCTCCTGGGATTACCAGCCTCAGCATATACAATTATATGTTGTTAAATAACATGAAACTGTATGTTAATGCCGCTATAATCATTTACGGTGTTGCAATTATTTTGTTTCTCAGTTTCTGACAAGAACGAGGCAGGAGAGGTTTCTGTGAGGGTCTCATGAGTATCTAACTGTATATACCTCAACATCAAATGATGCTTCAACGGAAGTTTACGAGCTGGCTTATCTTTATGCGGAAGTTCTAAGGAACGCTCAGTGCATATAGTCAGAGATTATTGTCTTACTATAGGAAGATAAGAGGGTCTGTATTACTTACTATTGGAGAAAGTGTAACGGTCAACTTGGATCACGTGTGCCTTAACCAATCACTTTACAGCCTTGACATAATTGATTTTCAGTCAGAGTTGTGCAACACCCAATTGCCTTTTACGGATACCATAGGAATGAACGAGAAATGCCGTAAGTTGAATCCCACCAGTCGCAAAAAGTCAGTGATTTCTCTTATAAAACGGCATTTTTTTCCCAGTGTAAACTCTAAAAATAGTTTAATCCAAAAGTATTGCTTAGTGTAAAGCATGTTGGAGATTAGCTTATAGGCTATCGATTAATTCAATTATCCTCTAAAAAGCTGTTTATTCAGTGTAGTGAAGCCTCTCCTCCATTGACATCCATTCAAAAAAATGGCCTCTTGTCTCCTTTCCCACGTACTGGCAAACCGGAAGCGTTAGCATTAGCCGTTACGCTTTTTTGGCTAAAGGTTGCAGGCTTGCCTTCTAGTGGCTTTGATATGGTCAATTATCAAGCGTTTTGATTTCCTGAGCAGTATGACGTCACACTGCTCAGGCCCCGCCCTCGGCCAGTTGTACGGTGTCTGCCATTTTCTTTGTGCTCGAACAGCTTTAGCGTCAACAATGTCTCGAAAGCAATGCAGGTGTTTTGTAGTTGGATGTAAAAGTGAACATAGGAGTCTTCATATTCTCCCGACACCAGAGCCACTGAGAACGCAGTGGGTTCGTTTTGCTTTTAATGGTAACGCGCCACCGAATACACCTAAATTTGTTTATGTCTGCGCAAATCATTTTACTCCAGACTGCTTTCTGAATGAGAGACAATTCAAGGCAGATTTTGCCAAAAGATTAAGACTCAAGGATGGATCAATACCCGCTGTTTGTGATTCAGCTGCACCTCCAGAAGTAGTAAGTCTCTCACTTTATATTTATGATTATTTGCAAGTCGCCTTTCCTATATATATATATTTGAATGTATAGTACCCTAATGGTAGCGACTCGCTATTTCTGTGAAGTAGTTATTTTGTTCAAAACGCATTACTTTATGAAAAGGATTTGTGTTGGGAATGGCGAGTGGTGTTAACAGCTCTACGGAAGAGAGGGGTGGGATGAGCAGCAGCTCATTATCATTTAAAGAGACATGCACCGAAACGGGTCGCTGTGTACAGAGCTGTTTGTGACAAGGTAAAAAGAGTGTTGTTTTACACGACCATTGAGGAATTTTGACCAAAGTATGTTCCAGACAGTTCATGAAGACCCTATAGAATCATACCAACATGTGGAAAATGGGCATCCGATGTCTCCTTTCAAGATATGTTATTCACAGAAGTAGAGCTATTTTGTTATATTTGATTTTTTTTTGTTGTTTTTTTTACTTCAGGAGTCCTTCAGTAAGACGAAACCTATCTTGCCGGTAAATGCTGTAACCTCTACAAGCAACAACACACCTACCCCAAAACCTGCTGCCCCCAAACCTGCTTCCTCAGACTCCAGCTCATCAGTGAAGACTACCACTTCCAGTGGTACGGTGCAGACAGTCACCAAGATCCCCTGCTCTCAGTGTCTGAACTCGTTCTTTCACAGACCAGAGCTGCTGGAGTTCAAGGTACTCCGGTTTACTAGTTTAGACGGGCACTAATAAATGGTACTAGAACTGGTACTGTAATAGTGGGTGTTTTACAGGCACAAGTACTTGGCATAAAAATGTTCTGATGAGGGGAATTCCAAAAGTTCAAATGGATTTCAATTAAACTTAGCTTAAGGCACATGACACCATCTAGAAATAAATTACAGTTTGTGTTTTTTATATTTATAATTTGGTGGGGGGATTTGTATATATAATTTAAGTGCAACAATATACGCAAAATTTGCAGATACAGATAATCATTATTTTAAAACCAATATTTGGCCATTTGTTAGATAGCAGTCTACATTTTGTGAAGCTAGTAGCCAAAAAACAGAGAAAAAATCTGTAAGTTAAAGGGACAGTTCACCCAAAAATGAAAATTAGCCCATTATTTACTCACCCTCAAGCCATCCTAGGCGTATATGACTTCCTTCTTTCAGATGAATCCAATCGGAGTTATATTAAAAATTGTCTTTGATCTTTCAAGGTGTTTAATGGCAGTCAGCGGGTGTTGCAGTGCTTCAGTCCAAAAGAAGTGAAATAAAGCTCATCCATCCATAATAAAAAGTGCCTCACACGGCTCCGGGGGGTGAACAAAGGCGTCCTGTAGCGAATCGATGCATTTTTATAAGAAAAATGTCCATATTCAAAACGTAAGAATCACTTTAAAAGTGATTCTCTAAACGGCTAGGTCGTGTTAGAACTAGCCGTTTTAGGTAGGCGTGGTTGACTCTTAACTTTTATAAAGAATATCTCTTTGGATTTGAGACTTTAGTCTTTGAAACTTTACAGATCTTCTTTATGCACCAAAAGCTTGTAACACTTCAAAGAGAAATGAAAAATTTAAATCGCATCATATGACCCCTTTAAACATTAAAAAGTCGAATAATTTGGCCAACATTGATGGGACTCCTCATATATAACACATGTATATTTGTATTGTAAAGTTTATAATTAACATTCTCAAAAGTTACATTAATAATCTAAACAGTAGTTTGTATTTGTCTGATCGTGAAAAGCGCTATACAGATAAACTTGAATTGATGAGAAGTTGACTCTAAACCTAACTGGTTGCTTGTTTTCCTGCTCTTTCAGAGGAAAATGTATGCTTTCTGTGATAACGCTTGTGTTGAGGAGTTCAAACAGATCAACAATGTCATGGCTCGCTGTGAATACTGTAAGATTGATAAAATTGTCAAGGAGGTGAAAAGGATAAACAAGATTGACCGCTCTTTCTGCAGTGAGGGTAAATACTAAAAGCAAAATTAAAGAGATTATTAGCATGTTGTTTGTTTTCTTCTTCTTTTTGCATCATACATGCATGTCTTGATCCCAAGTTGTGGGTTATGATGTCACAATTACTTGTTTGTTCTTCCCTGTACAGGATGCAAGTTACTGTTTAAGCATGACCTGGTCAAGCGCTGGGGGAAGAAACACTGTCGCAGCTGCTTTTACTGTAGCGGATCCGCTCAGACTCTAGTGACTGAAGTTGTTAATAACGTAGAGGAGGAGTTCTGTGGGAACTTATGCTTATCACAACACACCTTACTAATGCGTAAGGTAATACTTTATCTCTTTTGGCTTATTCTGAGAAACAATGTCAGAATCAGAATGAGCTTTATTCACCAATTGTGTGAAAACTCACAAGGAATTTGTTGTGGGTTTTTTAGGAGCTCTTGGTACAAACATACATACACATATGACATTGAGAACAGAAAGAACATTTAAATGAAACTGGGGGAGGGGGGGGTGGTATACATCTGGAACAGAAGATTTATGTACAGATTTGTGCATTATTTACTGTGCATGAGGCCGTTTCGTGCTGCAACATTACTTTTAAGACTTTTTGCCGTGGATGTGGCTTTCTAACAGTGAGTATATTTCTGACAGGAAATAAAGTGCTCCATGTGCAGGCAGGCCAAAAAGATGACCGAGACTGTGAAATGGCTGGGTGAGATCAAGCATTTCTGCAGCTTGCAATGCTTGATGTTCTTTTGCAGTCTGCAGGGAACCACTGGGGCAGTCAGACCTGTAAACAAACCTCTGTCCACACAAGGTATGTAGATTTTTGGGTATATTTTATTTGTCTGATTCTTTTTTATGTCTGTATTTAATCTTTCAGTGATTGTTTTTCCTCAGGGACAGGCCCAGCACCGTCTCCAGGCCCTCAAAGTACAGTTAATCGCACATCATTGATAACTAAAGAGGCCACGCCGGTCATTGCCAGTGTTATATCACTCTCAAGTGCGTCCAGTGGACAGCCAGGTGTTTTAGGGAACAGCGTTCTGCAAGGTAACTAACTATTTACCACTTAATCATCTCTGTACCTTGAGGGATGCACAGTGTATTCCATATTTTATGAGACTTTAGTTTATCTGTAATATTTATTTTATTAAATTATGAATGTATATTATTTGTATTTATTCTTTTTAAATTATTATTATTATTAGAAATTGAATTTATTGGATATATCTACCATCAGATTATAATGGATTTTGTGCATGCACATTTCTCGTTTTACATTTGTATTTCTTTTGCCATTGTCTAGGAGGCATTTCATTTAATAACTAAAAATAAACTAACTAGAACCTATAAATGTAATCTTTAGCTATCTGAATATCTATGTTATCATACTATAATACTGATTACTATGATTTTTTTTTTTTTTAATTGTATTTGCATAACATTTTATAGAATTTTATCAGCCATAACATGAAAGTAATTATGATCAGATCTGTCAGAATTTTAATATCAGTGCCTAAACAACATGTTGCTAGTTACATAATTAAGTTTGACATCTATTGTCAACATTTTTTTCTTTATTTTTTTTGCGAACTGGGAAATGAATCGGCTATTTTCTGTGACACATCTCTCACATTTACCTTTTTGTGTCCTCAGGCTCTGTTCCAGCTGCTACAGCAAAAAGTTCAGGAAATGTGAGTTTTTCACAATATCAATAAACGAGCTGAAATTCCTTTTGAAAGGTGTATAAAAATCAACCAATTATCAACTGTTCTCTGTGTTGTTCCCAGGCGGCCAGCACACAGACAGACGGTGAGAAGGCTTCTGCTCCAGCACCTCGAATCCTGAAGAACAAAGCCTTGCTGTGTAAACCATTAAGTCAGAACAAAGGCACATCCTGTAAACCCAATGTCTGCGACATGAACACACAAACAGGTACTAGGAAGCAATGTTGCAGACATGTTTCTTTTGGGCATTGCATATGCTTGACGCTCACATTGTGTCAGCATATGCGTCATCGTGTGTCTCTTGACTTGTCACCATAATGTCCACTATATATAACACTTTAACTTTTGGAATACAGGATAACATTTATATTATCATATTAGGGTTTTGTTTTAAACCAGTTTTTTTTTCTACTGCTTTATTTTGAAAGCATTTCTATTGGTATGCAAAATGGCACTACAATGGTAGGAATGTTCCAATCACTTTGCATTTAATCATAATGTAATTTTCAGAGGACAGGTGGAGAATGAAGGTGGAGCAGCAAGGTGTCCATCAAACATCACAAAGTTGAAAATTAGAGGAGACACTTGTTATAAATGATTTGCATGTTTGTTTGTTTTTGTCCTCTAGATGGACCTTCCGTGATAGTGCTGCCTGTGCCAGTGCCAATCTATGTTCCGGTTCCCATGAACCTCTACACCCAATACACTCCGAAGTCTGTGGGGCTTCCCCTTCCGGTGTGTATCTCTACCGCTTTCTGTCTTCATTATTATTATTCCCTGCTTGTCCTTATCCTCATCTTTGATTATTGAAGCGATTAAAGCTATATTTGCTAATCTGTATTATATTTTGTTATATTTTGTTAATCTGTTAATAAGTGTTACAATGTTTTCATTGTTAATGAAAATCTTAACTAAAATGAAAATAAAAACTAACACAGAACTCTAAACAAAAATGTATCACTCAAAATTTAAAATAAACTAAAATACTAGTATCATGACTAAAATAAGACCAGACTACTGAGAAATTTAACACCATAATACATTTATAAATGATAACTCATTAAAACAAAAACTAAAATCTGAAACTAGAAAACTCAGGGGAAAAAATTAACGTAGTGAAAGCTAATGTAACCAAGTCAAAATGAAAATAAAAACTACATCTACATCTTGAATCAATCAAATAATTTCAAATGATTTTCAGATCATAGATTAGATTCACAGGCATCCCAAAGACTCTCCTAATTACACCATTAGTATGTACTTGTGCCATCATGGGTCTCTGTCTGTTTATGCAGGTTCCGGTGCCCTTGTTCTTCCCCACCACTCTGGACAGTGCTGAGTGCATTGTGAAGACCATTCAGGAAATCAAAGAGAAGATCCCTGATGACCCTCTGGAGGCCGACCTCATCATGATGGCAGAGATGGTGGCTGAGGATGCAGAGAAGGAGAAAAACATCACTGTTACTGGTAAATTAGGGAGGATTGGGAGGTTTTTAAAGGGGTCATATGATGCTTTTTTTTAGCAACGTCATATGACCCCTTTAATATTGTTGAAACTTCTTATATTTTTAGTTAACACACTGATTGAACAAAACTTGTGAGTTTGGTGTTTGGGCACTGTACAGTCTTTATACTTTGGGAGATGTAATAAGATATTGCAGGTGCACACACATGTTTTTGTTTAGTTTACAAGCCTCCTGTTTTGTTATTCAGATCCGACTAGTAACATAATGTATGACCTTGATCTGGAAGCCCTATCCAGCAATCTGAGTTGGGAGGAGGACTCTGTGTCTTCTGCCCAGACATGGGACCAAACCCCAGAGCCTGAGAGACCTCCTCTGTCCAGATCTGCCACAGTGACTCCAGTCTCCACCGCAGCAGAAGAGCCACAGATGGACTTGGAGGCTGATTTCCCAATTGGTAAGAGCTTCTGCTGTGGCTAAGAGGTCTAAACATACCGACACAATACAAGTTTTTTTTAAAATTATCTTCCATTCATATTTCATGCATCTTTATCCTTTCATATTTCAGAGAGCATTGAACTTTTCAGAGAGCAAACACAAAAGGAGACAACGGATTCTGGCAAACGGAAGTCTCGCAAGAGAAAACATGATGGCTTCCCTCAGAAGAAACGGGTAAGAACAGCTAAAGCAGAATTATTCTTGACTTGCCACCATAATGTTCACTATATAACACTAACTTTTGGAATACAGGATATCATTCATATTATCATATTCCGGTTTTGTGATTTAAACCAGTTTATTTTTTCTACTGCTTTTTGAAAGCATTTCCATCGTTATGCAAAATGGCACTACATGGTAGGAATGTTCCTATCACTTTGCATTTAGCCATAATGTCATTTTCAGAGGACAGGTGGAGAATGAAGGTGGAGCAGCAACAGGGGTCCATCAGACATCACAAAGGTGAAAATGAGAGGAGGCACTTGTTATAAATAAGTGTTTTAGAACTGACACTCTACTAAGCGCATCCCCTTACTCAAGCTTTCATTATGGCGCTTGTTCTGTCAAAAGATAAGTGGAAAGGGAAGCAGTTTAAAACTGAGTGAATTATCTCGGATACTATTAATTAATATCTGGATAAATCACAGCCACTGACAAGATTTTGGCATGGTGAGGAAGGTTACATCCAACACAACTTTGGGCAAAAATATACCTGGTGAGGTGGTTGTAAAGCTTCAGAATCAAAGCAAATAATTTTTTTGTTCGTTTGGTTGTTTTTCAAAAAAAAAAAAAAAAAGAGAACGCGAGAGAGAGGAGCCTAATATTTTATATTCGGAATTTTAAAGCTGTTGTAAAGTAGTAGCAGGGGTATAATGGTACACTTATTTCAAAAATAATTTGAATACAGTTTTAATCACTTCACGTGCGGAATTTCAAACTCAGTTTCCCCTCTAGGGACAATATCTTTTGAGTCAATATATTTTGATATTGCTCTCCTATCAGATGCACGTGTTTAGTGAATTTGAGATGCATTTACTTAGCATAACTTCTTACGGTTGCATACTTACCTGTAAATATTACAAAATCACACAAGAATATCCAAGTAAAGGATTATTTTGGCAGCAAGTCTTCAATGAACGAGTGCCAGCGCACACCTACATGTCAAATAGACAGAATGCGAGTGCATTCATTTTGCTTATGTATTTTGTATCCCAAAGTGTAAGCACTTCAAATGTAAGCTCTTCCCCCAATAACAACTGTACTATAAACTGCATGGTGTTGCTTGTTGACATGGTGCGCAATATTGTCAGACTTTTTTAAAGACAGTTTTTTCAGTCATCCACTGTTTAATTCGCTGTACCGAACCATGACATTTAAACGGAGGTACGTACTGAACTGTCATTTTTGTGTACCATAACACCACTGTAAATTAGTACTACTAAGTTTGGGATAATTAGGGTCCTTTTGTCCTTAAATATCTTTGCTGCTCTAAACTCTAAAAGTGGCACTGTAGCCATAAAATTTCAGAGAGCTGAACACATTTTCGCACCGCACTAACAAGCTTTGCATTTTTGCGTCTTCGTTCACTTTTGTTCACACAGCTGCAATAAAAGAGCTATTAAATGTTTGTAGTCATTAATAGTTTTTTAATGCAGTTAACTTGTATTTAAATTTACGTTAAGTCCATAAACTGTGTGTGGTGCTTAAACATTACTTATCGCAGATATATATAGTTCTAACGTAATTTTGTCATTCCTTAAAAAGGAACTGGTTACCTTATTGCGTTCAACACAAAAAATTTAATTAATCGCGATTGACAGCACTATTTCTCCTGCTCCACCACGGCTGTTTCATCCACATATGCATTCGTATCTGTGGAGTTTTCAAGCTCCGGACATCAGGGACCGAATGTGGTGGAGGACTTAAATCCTGAGCTGGCGAAACGGGATGCCATTATTGAAGGGCTAAAGCGGTAGCTGCATCACTGCAAGGAGGTTTATGACGACACCAAGGCTGCTCTATTATATTTGAAAAGCACTCACAAGGGGCTTATTGAGGCCCACAAGGCTGTCCGTTTGCAGCTGAGAGAGGCACAGGTGAAAACACAGACATTGAGGAGCAATCTTGACTCCACACAAACCCCAGCAGTGGTCTGTAATAGCGAGGATGCTGTTGCCCAGACTAGCAATGCAGGCAGTCAGCAAAAAGCTATGTTGCCATCCTGAACTTTAGTTTTATGCTCCCTCAAAGGAGCTGGAGCTCCTATTTGCGCAGAGTCTGAGGCGGCCGGATCGCTATGGTTGCATGCTGTTCCGTGCTGTTTTACCCCAGAAGTAGTATAAGGAGTGGGCGTCCAATACCAACTGGGATGGTGCGAGGGGCAAATTTGAATTGCCTTTGAACCTACGGCACTTTATCATTAAGACCGTTTCTCTGAGGTTCCCTCGCATAACCAACATTGAACTAAAATGTATCAAAGACATTCAATGAATTCTCTGAGGTTCCCTCACATAACCAACAGTGAACTAAAATGTATCAAAGACAGTCAATGAATTCTTGCACTTACCAAGAAACAATGGTGGCCACAAGCTTTTACATTATAAGACAAAACCAGTAGACGACATCTAAATATTTTTATTTAATAGATTAAGTGCTAAATTTGAAAACCTGATTTTGTCTTTCATTAAAAACCCTTTAGAGACTCAATTATTCAAACTGTTACTATTGTGATACATAAGCTCAAACATAGTGTATTGATTTTTAATCTGAAATTGAATGTGGCTGTGACAAATGAGCCTAAAACAAAATAAAGCTGAAGCCAGTTTTATCGATCAATACTGTCATGTGATTGCTTTAAAGTTTAAATTTAAAGTAACATTTAAATTGCTTTTTTTTTTTTCAGACTCTTGATCTTGTCATGATGGTAGTATGTGCAAACCAGACAACTTTATTGTGGTTTATAAGCTGTGGCCTTTATCTTTAATGTTGTTCTGATAATTTGCACTTGATTCTTCTATATGTTGCACTTGTGATAAGTGCAGGGATTTTCCCCATAAGATATTTGCGTTACCGTTTCAGTAATACAGATGAACACTAAATGTACACTACTGTTCAAAAGTATATTTTTTAAGTGTCTCATCCACCAAGGGTTTGTTTGATCAAAAATACAGTAATATTATGAAAATGTCTTTACATTTTAAAATGTTTTGTTTTAATATATTTTTAAAATGTAATTTTATCCTGTGATTGCAAAGCATTTAGCAGCCATTACTCTAGTCTTAAGTTTCATATGATCCATCAGAAATTATTATAATATGCTGATTTGTTGCTCAAGAAGCATTATTATTATGTTGAAAACAGTTGTCCTGATTTATATTTTTGTGGATTGTTTTTTGTTGGCGTATAGGGCCGTAAGAGTGCAACTGTTGTTCCAGTCAAATCAGCATTAGACAACCTCTCAACACTGCAACACGAGTACGCTGTAAATGCTTGGAAGGAATGGGTACGCTGGAGGAATGCCCAACCCAACATGGAGACCCCCAAATTTGGCTGTAGGTCTCTCTTTATCCCTTTATTTCTTCCCAAAAGAAAGTTCCACCATGTAAAATAAACAATTATACATGAAATTATAAAATTAACCTTGTTTCCTCATTGAAACCGATTCGCTCACCAATGGATGCTCTGCAGTAAATGGGTGCCGTCAGAATGAGTCCAAACAGCTGATAAACCACAATAATCCATAAGTGATGCACATGAGTCCAGTCCAAGTGACAAGCTGCATTTTGTAAGCAACAAATCCATCAATTGATCATTTTAAACCATCACTTCTGGCCAAAATACAAGTCCATAATTCATAATAATGCTTCTTCTGTTGAAAAAGTCCATCCCCTGTTTTCCTTCACAAAAATCCACCAACATATTCAAGACTGTTTTGGACTCTTTGCTTGTAAATGGTAATTTGTACATATATTTCTCTCCTGATTCAGATGTTATGAATCAATGATGGATTAATTCCTAATGAGGGATTTGTTACTTGCAAACAAATTGCTTTTGGATTATTGTGATGTTTTTTTATCAGCTGTTGGGCTCTCATTCTCACTGCAGAGAATCCATTGATGAGCAAGTGATATGTAATGATAAATTTTTCCAAATCTGTTCCGATGAAGAAACAAACTCATCTATATCTTGGATGGCCGAGGTCGAGTACATTTTCAGCAAATTTTCATTTTGGGGTAAACTATTCCTTTAATGTGTTTTTCAAGGGATAGATTTTGAGTATATGCATTCACAGGGAATTGAGCATTAGCCTTGTGTATACATCATGCTCTACTAGTTAAACTACAGAATCTTTAACATGCCATTTAAGGGTTAAACACTTCCTCTTCATCCTTAGCACGCAGTATGACACTAAAGGAGGACTTATTGAAGTGTTGCACGGCTGAACTAAGCTATGGCCTCTGCAAGTTCATTTCTGAGGTTCGTCGTCCCAGCGGAGAGAAATACAGCCCTGACACCATCTTTTATCTCTGCTTGGGAATCCAGCAGGTAAATCGAGAAGAAACCACACAACCTGAACACATTCAGTCATGTTATATAGTTTGTTTTATCTCATGTCGTTCATATTTGCAGTACCTGTTTAAGAACAATCGGATGGAGAACATCTTCGCAGACGTCTTCTACACCAAATTCTGTCAGGAACTGACCAACATACTCAGAGGGTGGAAACCAACTATTTTGCCCAGTGGTGAGCAATTAAAAACACAAATGTGTGACTAGCTTGTTTTGCTGCTGCTCCACAAACATGTCTGTTTGTTTGCTCAGGTTACGTTCATTCTCGTGTGGAGGAGGAGTATCTGTGGGACTGTAAACAGCTGGGGGCGTTTTCACCTGGTGTGCTGCTCAACACGCTGCTCTATTTCTTCTCCAAGTACTTCAACTACAAGACAGCGGAGCAGCACCGTCGCCTCTCTTTTGGCCACATTGTACGCTGCTCTCGGAGCAAGGGCAACACAAAAGTGGCCTGTTTGCGTTTCTATCCCCCCAAAGAGGACACAAGCACAGGTCAGTGGTCAGTTATACTGTCTTAGCTTGACTGTGTTTGACTTCTTGTTGTATCACTTGTTTGTTTTGTTTACTTCAGTTGGCGTCCCTGCAAAGAAAAGGAAGGAAGAGGAGGATGACAGTAACACTGTATATGAGATAAAGGAGAATGCAGACAATCCTCTTCGCTGTCCTGTCAGGCTATATGAGTTCTATCTCTCAAAATGGTATGTTTGTTTGAACTTCCAGTGATAACTGTTTTGAACAGCATTTATTTGAAACTAAAATGTGAACTTTATAAACGTTTTACTGTCATTATTGATCAATTTAATGCATTCTTGCTGAATAAATGCATTATTCTAATATAACAAGTTTGTCATAATTGCATTCCGTCCAGCTCACCCAGCGTGAGGCAACGCACAACCGACTTTTACCTGAGCCCCGAGCGCTCATGTGTACCCAACAGTCCCATGTGGTTCTCGACCACCTCTCTGAGCGATGAGGCTCTGGACAGCATGCTCACACGTATCCTTACTGTCAGAGAGCTGCACCTGGAGAGAGACAAATCACCCAATGAGACTGACTCAGACAGTGACTTGGACTTCAGGCCCTGACTTTGAAATGAGACGTACAGCATAAGTGCACACCAAATTTGCAGAGTGAAGAAGGTATCTCGGATTTCTCCTAGATGGTTCTCTGAGTATTTCTACAAAGCTGGCAAAATCTGGATGCCATTAAATGGGCCTTAAGGATATTGATAGTGATTCCAATGGATAGAAAGCAAGTGTTTTGTCTTTGTATTTTCCATGTTTAATTGGATTGTAGTTATGAGGCTGTATAGTGTTTTTTGTGATCAAGTGTATGGAAAAACAATATTTGGCAAAAGCAGCTAATGTAAAAAAAAAAAAATTTAAAAAAAAAAGACATTTCAAAAGGTGCATATGGTTGTATGGATTTTGTTCAGAGGACAATGCGGAGGTTTATGCACTGCCACATTACGCACAAGTAATATTTAATAGGGTTTCTGCACATTCGTTGTATCATAATTAAACACTAATGACATTGACAGCATCTTTGTACAACAGGCATTTAAAACAGTGGCTGGTGTATCTACCCATTAAAATGAATATTGAGGTTTTTTTTCTTTTCTTTTTGCAACCTAACCACTGCAGGATTTAATTCTTGTATGGACAAGGCTGCATTTCTTTGAATAAAAAGACAATGAAACTGTATGTATATGTATGTATGTGTGTATATATATATATATATATATATATATATATACTGCTAAGTCGTATATTAAAAGTTGAGACATCAAATAAACAATCAGTTAAAATTATGCATTTTGCACAAAAATAATTGTGCATGAAGTCTCACTTTAAAATATCTAAAAAATAAATGAATGTAACTAAAATAGTTATAGACATACATTGATATTCTGTTTATATGTATTACAAAACCACAAAAGTAAACAAAAACTTAAATCAGTACTTGGTAAGAGATGAGAAGATTTTTTTTCTGTACAAATCAGACATTTGTAGAGCATAAATGACTAAGGGTTAGAGTATAAAATTAATTATATTTAACTTATTAGCAAATAAAACACACATTTCATGTTAATGTGTTCAACAGTAGTAACTACATGGTTTTTACATAAAGCCAAACTTGGTAAAAAAAAAAATCACATTGTTCACAATAAAATTCACACATACAACTTTACGGAACAGTTCACTCAAAAAATAAATGTTCTCATTTATTTGCCCCCAGGCCATCCAAGAAGTAGGCTATATTACTGACTTTTAGCTGAAGAGAAATTAAAGTGATAGTTCACCCAAAAATTGAAATTACCCCATGATTTACTCTGTATTTGACTTTCATCTTTTAGATGAATACAATCGGAGTTATATAAAAAAATGTACTCGTGTCAGCGCCGATAGCCTCATAGGCAGTTTGAGTCCTGGCTCGTGGAACTTTCCCCGATCCCGTCCCCCCATCTCTTTCTCCCACTTCACCTCCTGTCACCCAACTATCCTATTGTAATAAAGGTAAAAAATGCCAAAAATAAATATTTAAAGGAGTCATATGATGTTGCTAAAAAGAACATTATTTTGTGTATTTGGTGTAATGAAATGTTTATGCGGTTTAAGGTTTAAAAAAAACATTTTCCACATCCTGTATATTATTGTTTCTCCTCTATGCCCCGCCTTTCTGAAACGTGTTGATTTTTACAAAGCTCATCGGTCTGAAAAGCGAGGTGTGCTCTGATTGGCCAGCTATCCAGTGCGTTCTGATTGGCCGAATACCTCAAGCGTGTGACGGAAATGTTACGCCCCTTACCATATTGTGATGCCCTGTCCAGCTGGAGCAACGATTCAAAAACATGAAAACACATTATAAACGAGGCATTTGCTGCATCCAGTGGGGACATAATTACGGATTATAATGACTTATACTGTCTTTTTACGCGTTGCATCGCGCCGCATAAACATAAAACCATGTCTGCATTTGTGATCTGAGAAATGACAAACAAGCCCTACTCTACACTGCTCAAAACTCGCGTTCGAATCATGAGTGGCAAATTCTTTATATATAAAAAACGCTACATACAGACTGTGAGTCAGAACAGCCGGCATTGTCGGCCGGTGGGCTTGCGGCAACCACATGTGATGACCCCGGGCTGAACTCTGCTTCATCCACGGTGAAAGCCGATCCGGCAATGCACAGCGCGAAGTTGATGTATTTCCTCAGCGACCAGCACGGATCAGCTCCAGGCATGACGAAACGGATATCGTCCTCTTTTGGAAAGCCAAACAAAGTAGTTTCGCTTTCACAATGAAACACACAGCGCCTTCACGACATGGCGGCAGCAACATTACTACAGCGAGATGTAACACTCCAAAGAGAAAGGAAAAATTGTAATCGCATCATATGACCCCTTTAATAAAAAATGTTCTGGCTCTTCCAAGCTTCATAATGGCAGTGAATTGGACTTGAGATTTTAAAGCCCAAAAAAGTGCATCCATCCATCATAAAAAAGTACTCCACATGGCTCTGGGGGGTTAATAAAGGCCTTCTGATGTGAAGAGATGCATTTGTGTAAGAAAAATATCCATATTTACAACTTTATAAACCGTAATCTCTAGCTGTCGTACACGTGTTCAGGAAAAGCAGAAGAGATCGCTGTGATGAACTTTCAAAAGGTAAGACATTTATAGAATAAAACTACATTATCAGCACAGCTAATCAAATTACCATGTGCATTAAAACATAGTAGGCTATTCCTCATTATTAGATTTAGGGGATGTTAATAATTCTCTTAAAGCAGTTTCATCCATTGTTCTGTAATTAAGGCTTTTAAATGTGATTTGTGCAGGGTGTGGTGTTAAATATTTGAATTGGATTGATTGCATAGGATGCTGATTGACCTAAGTGAGAATTAAAAGTTTAAAATAGGCGAGCAGTTTCAATTCAGAATCATACTTGACTAAATGTTGAATCTTACTAATTATCAAAAAATGTATTATATACCACTACTGTATTGTAGAAGTAATCACAGTAAACCTGTACTTCTTAGCTACTGTAGAAGCACTGTGTGGTGGAGGAGCAGTGATGCCACAGGACTGATATGTGATGGAGCATCACTTAACCATTTCTATTGCGTTTTTCTCCTTTCAGAACAAGAAGCTCCTGTAGACTACCTGTAATGAGACCTCACAATGAGTATCAGCTCACGGTTTCTTTCCCTGTTCATTGTGTCTTTGTGAAAAAGTGCAAATTCTCAAGTACGATTACATCACATTTTGTTGTTGTAATCTATAGCTATATTTAGATTGCTCCTGCTGACTATATCAAGCCACTTACAAAGACTTCAGATGACGCCAACCCTTGAGAGGATTTCAGATAATGCCAACTCTGAATAAACATACAAAACTGTCAAATTTTCCTTGCATTGTACTCATCATGATCACATCATGTAATCATTGCTTTAATGTGTTCATTGTTTCTGCTGAATACATGATGTTAACTAACTGCATGATTTGTACGGTCTTTAACCAAGGTAACTTTAGCCTAAATAGGCAAGTAATAGTTGACCACATTAATCCACAAATATTAGCTCATTTTATCTTTTAAAAACAGCATTGATAAAACTACATATACATGTTGATGTATTTTATAAATATTGTAAATAAATGCATTTATTGACCACTAATTACCAAAAATTGCAGTCCTGTCATTGTATTCCATTTGCTTGCCATGAACTTCCTAGAACTATCTGAAAGGGATAATTCCCCAAAAAAAGAAAATTACCCCATGATTTACTCGCCCTCAAGCCATGCTAGGTGTATATGAATTTCTTCTTTCACACGAATTCAATCTGAGTTATATTAAAAATGTCCTGGCTCTTCCAAGCTTTATAATGGCAGTGATTGGGGGTTGAGATTCAATAGTCCAGTATAAGTCCAATAAAGTGTGTCCATCCATCATAAAAAACCTCTGGGGGGTTAATAAAGGCCGTCTGAAGTGAATCGGTGTGTTTTTGTAAGAAAATGTCCATATTTAAAACTTTATAAACCATAATCTCTATCTTCCGCTTCAGGAGGCCTTTATTAACCCCCCCCCCAGAGCCATGTGGAGCACTTTTTTATGATGGATGGACACACTTTATTGGACTGAATCTCAACCCCCATTCACTGCCATTCTAAAGCTTGGAAGAGCCAGGACATTTTTTAATATAACTCCTATTAGATTCGTATGGAAAAAAGAAAGTCATATACACCTAGGATGGCTTGAGGGTGAGTAAATCATGGTGTAAATTTAATTTTTGGGTGAACTATCCCTTGAAGTCTACGTGAATCACGTGACGATCAAGCATTTTGAACTTCCGTTGGCGCTCTCTCTCGCTCTCTCTCTCAGTGACTCTGGTTTAAAGCAAAGGAAAACCACGTGAAGAAGTGAATTGTTTTAGCTATACTATACATTTTATTAGTCCTAAAATGGTGTTTTCGTGTGTATATCCGGGATGCTTCAACATAGCTAAACCCTTAAGATTACGTGCGCGGACATCAAAGGGAGATAAACCTTTATCATTTCACACATTCCCTGTCAATAATCCTGAGCGATTGAAGCTTTGGCTGCTGGCTATTTGCTTGGATGTAAATACACCCATGGAAAAAGTCAATAGACGCGTGCTGTGCAGTGAACATTTTAGCTCCGAGGATTACCATGAAGAGAAGGGAAAGTCAAGGCCACAACTGAAATCGTCAGCTGTGCCTCTGCCTGCGGTGTTGTTTCAGCCAAATGAGGTAGGCTATTCAACCATACTGTAATATAATTGTTATATGAAGTTTTTAAGTAATCGCTTATGTAACTATTGTAAAACTGTTTAATTGTTTTTTTAATCTCTAAATGCAATTAAACATTTTAAACTTTATGGTGGATTGTTGTAGTACACAAGGGATCCTCAGTGTTTCCCACAGACTTGCACTCTATTTGTGGTGGCACTTCCCTCATTGGAGGGGAGGGTTGTTTTGTTTTGTATTATAATACTAAAAATAATGCTCCAACGCAAATTTTCCTAATTGCTTTGAACTTTATTTACATAATTAAACGTCCCCCAGGTACAGGTTTTTACTAAATCTAATTTTTTAAAATGTCAACATTTTATTTAAAAAAAAAAACAACATTTCAGCCTTTAAACCATTATTAAAAAAAAGGATGAGTCAAAAGTATAATATTAATTTGAAACATAAACAACTGTTTGTTGTTAAAAATATGGGTCGATTTTGTACATTTTCTATATGAGTGACACGTCTTGGGTATTGTATAGTCTTTGAAACAGCTTACCTCTACACTGAGGCAGGGGACTGCTTACATCGTGTAAATGAGCGAGCGATTG